CTGCGTGAATATGACGAATCACAACACCACGGAGACCCGAGAAAAAAAGGGATTAAAGTCCAAAATCTGACTTGAAATAACCTAACAAATCAATCGGGGCTAAAGCAGTTCCATAAACAACAATGTAAGTTCACACAATCTCACAAATTTGTGGACGCTGAATCTTAAGCAGCCTTTAATGTCGATCATGGATCAAATCGATCCACCATGGCAAACAGCGAATATATTTGTGCTGTTTAATGCATTTGAGACGTTGTGTTTTCCTCAGTGCATAACTGACATGTCACAAGTATATTTTTCCTCTGTAAATGTTAGAAAGTCATGCAAATATATCAATTTTGCTTGCTGTCAGGAGTGCGCGAGGCATACGCGAGTGAACGAGCGCTGCTGCACACATGCACGCTAAACAGACGGATCACAATCATTCTGAGTCAAATGTGCATTTTGCTAAAATATTCGTTGTTGGACGTTAAATGTGCCTTTTGTAGAATTGTAAACCTACATATAGGTGTATTCTTATGATAGCAGTAACTGTAAAGGGACTATTGTAATGCGTAAATAAAATGTAAGCTAATACAGTCCTAATTACTAAGCTTACTACTTAATTACTACTTAATGTGTGTTTCTTATAGCAGTTAAAATGTAGTTTTAATTTAGTGATTTTAACTTTTAGTTTAGTAATTTTAATGCTTGCAATGTTAGATTGTAAAGTTCTAATGCTATCTACTCTAACTATAAAAGGTACAGCTGACATAAAACCAGAGAAAAAGGCTGCATGGCTATGATAGTATGTGAGAGAGTCAGTGGTAATATCATTGCATTCCTATTGTTCAGTGTTAGAGGAGCTCAGCTTAGTCTGACAGTTTGCCTGCCCTGGACCAGGTTAGCTTTCCAGCATAAGTTGCCACAGTGACTGATTTTGATCTTTGTTAAATTTGTTTTATGGAACCAAATCATTTGACAGTGAGTCAGACTAACTGAAATAAGCCTGGCCTATTTGGTAAACTTGTTTTATGAAACAGGCCTCGAGGCATTAAAAGTCAGAAGACACATAAGTTAATGCCTCAGTTATGGAGATGCACATCCCTACTATAGTGAGTAAAAAATAACCTAATTGAAACCAAGTATTTTCCAAACAAAATTTTACATATTTTCAGTGTGAACTGGATCTTTATACATGAAAATATAAAGTTGCCTTTTAAACTTCATATTTGACATCATATTTGGGGGTCCGTGGCATATTAGTCAAAAGAGTGCAGAATGGTATTTAGTGGACGATGATATTACCATATGATACAGTCACTGTATGGGATCACCGCAGTGGCTTTGTATAAGGTTTGCATGAGACGCTCATCTGAAGTATCTCTGACTCTCAGGTTGAACTCAGGATTATACGTACGGATGAGCCGATATACTGGTAATTAATACTTTCTCTGCACTGAAATGTCACGTCTGTAATACTAGTACTGCTCAAGCAGGGTTCATATCCTAGAGGAAACTTCTGCAGGAGCATTTGAAACGGTAATAAGCGGTTTCCTCATTCTCTGCGAGATCTAATGTGTTTCCGTCTGCGAGATCATCATCAGATCAGCATCAACGGCTGCGGAGCCAAAGAACCTTTACACAAACTCAACAAAACCAAACTTTAGCACCAAACGAAGTGCACCGTAGCCGAATCGGTGACATTCATAAACATCAAATGGCAACAGTTGGCTTTGAAACAGACCCAGTATTGTTTCCAGCTTTTAGC